TTTTGTGGAAAAAATATAGTGAAGTCGGTGAAAATCTCATACGGTCTTTCAGACTCAAGCCACAGGATTATTTATCGTAGAGCGGTCAAGAATTATTTTTATTTATAGAAATTTATAATTTTCGCAACGTCCCCTAATCGCAGGATTATTTTCTACAAAGAGACGAGTCTGTTTGATCTTCTGTCGAGTCTGTCGGACCCTGAGTCTGTCAAATCTTCTGTCGGAGACGAGTCTGTCGGACCCTCAGAGATCTTCTAAATTGGAACTAAGTGTCTTTTTCTTACGAGCTTTCGAAGACTGGTGGGCAAAAGAGGGAAAGTCTCCGAGCATTATGTGTTTCTATGGCTCCAAATGAAGCGATTATTACGAGTGAAGGGCCCTTGAGAAACGCTCGACCGAAGCTTTCTGGAGATCAAGACATTATAATGCTTCGTTGGGCCCGCGGCAAGAAATCTCCAGGTATTAAAATTAAAGTGCGTCCAGAGATCAGATCAGTAGTACGTTGATCAAGTGAGGTTTGAAGTGCACTGGCTCTGGCTGCCGCAATGCATTTAATTTTGACTCATTGATAGTCAGGTTTAGAATTTTTTGTGGTTATGCATGCGTTCAAGTTTTGTTTTATTGTCAGTGAAACATTGACGGCTGATCTTACGTCGGCCAATCATTATTATTGTTTGGCAGTACGGTGAAAACTGGAGTTCACTCTCAATATTTACAAGCTTGAGATCGTCAAGTTTGATCTGCAAAAATGAAATAAATTACTGTTCGTACTTATTTTAGTGAATAATTTGCATTAGCTATCAAGCTAACTAACTAAGTTGAAAGTTGAGTTAAAATTTAGTCACAAATGTCATCATTTAAAAGTTTCTCAATTCGTACTCTTAATAATGAGTTTGAATAAAATTATTAGATACTGAGAGTGTACTCTAGTGACCTTTTTATCATTTGTTGAGCCGATCTTTGCAGTGGCTAGAAATTAGCGGGATATCTCCCCGAGAATTCTCTGTATTCTTATTGAAAGCTTCTTGTGTAAATTAGAGTCGATTGTGGTGAAGCCTACATGGATGGGCTGTATTTCACCTGTTATCTGAGCCTTCAATTACCTCAGTAGCCTCTTGTGGCGAGGCTTACGCTTATAGCGACAAAATCGCGACGTTAGACGATAACGTGGCTGGCTTCTGACGCGAGATCAGACGACGAAGAACTAGAGTTAATGTCGGGACCGCGACTAGAATAGCTAGTGCACAACTACCATAAGGGAGACAAATATGCCTTAGAGTTGCTCCACTTTGGCAATGTTGACTCGTTTTTTAAGGGACAAGGGGCTGGCAAATGGTGTGAGAGAGACATTACTGATAAGCTTTATTGGCCCGGACTGCTAGCTGAGCCTCGCATAATCGCGTCTCCTTTGTCTTGCTATTTACGGCCTCCTTGTCTTACGGAGGCTTAGCTTTTTCCCAACCTTAAATATCGTGTACTTGGTGAAAAAAGGTTGGTATTTTGTATTTTACTACAGCGTAAAGTAATGATAGCCTAAATTACAAATTTTACGCTGAGACAGATGAATAAACTCGCATTTTATGTCCTGCTCGAAAATGATAGCATCGGTGATCGTCGTAATGTCTCCTTGCAGGGTCTGTTCAAACGATAAAAAGCATTTAATACCTGTTCCTAATTTTCAGACCTTCACCTAAAACTTTCACAGTTAAGAGTTTAATTCTCACAGTCATTACTTTGTCACAGCCATTCTGTCATTATTCTGTTTGTTGAATTTCAGTATATTGTTTCATTCTGTAATGTCACCAGAATTTTTTTTAAAATGCTTCTCAAATGTTTGATTTAGTATATTATTAAATTCACTCACATATCTGTGTGTTTTGCGGCCACGGGCATAGTTTCGAAAAACAGCAGCAGTTATCTTAATACTGCGTCGATGCTGAATTTCAGTTTATTTTGTTTTCAGTGAGAACGATATTGATATTAAATGCTGAAATTAAAAGACTTCTCCTTTTCAATTGGTATTGAATACCCAATGAGAGAATTGAGCGGTAAAATTTTTATTAAACTGGACTTCAATATCACAGATTGAAAAATAGATACATGTAATTTTGAACTAATTGATACCATTAAGAAGTAACACATTGAAAGACTATAAAAAGATACGCTAGACGGATATAATTTGTCTGGCTTGCAGTTCACGGTTCGCATTTTCATGCTTTATTCAAGGCCTATAGAGCCACTCAAGGCCTGCCGGTAAGCGCATGTGGCCGCTGCCGCAGTAATTGCCTTTATTGGGGTTTGCTAAAATGACCGCGTTTCGTTGGGGAGCTCAGCGGTGCGCGCGGCGAATGCTTGATGAGTCGCGTTCGCTGTCTGGCCTGACAAGTGCGTGAGCGTAGTTACGGTGTCTGGCCTGACAAGTGCGTGAGCGTAGTTACGGTGTCTGACCTGGCATGTGCGTGATCGTAGTTACGGTGTTTAGTCTGACAAGTTGCAAATAAATTTTTGTCGTGCATTCAGGAGTAACTTTAAGTCACTCACCAGACATAAAATAAAAATATGAAGCATATTTAATTTGAATGTTACTTGTTTCTACTGCTCTGCTCATTGAATAACATAACGTACATCACATTTGAAAATGAGATTTTGTCATAAAATACCTGAAGCATCAATGACGTATTTTAAAGATAACAACGTACTTCATGCTCGCGATAAGACGGAGGAAAGTCAAAGGATTGAATGCGACTGCTGGCGGCTGGACGCTATAATTAGACTGCAGTATTTTGGTTCGCATGTTTGGAAAGCGGTAATTGTTCGAATATCATTAAGTTATTTATCCGGCAACGAAAAAATTATCTCCGCTAGAAATTGGACTATATTTTTCTTGCTTATAGGAAAAAATTGCCACAATTCATCCAAGGCTACCAGCAGTAACATATTTGAACTGCTTGCTTATTTCACCCACTTTCTTTGCTAAATTTTTATTCCGACATATTTTTTATTCTAAAACATGTATAAATGGAACACAGTCTAAACTTGACTTATCGCAAAGCAGTCCGCATGGCGAACATTTGCATATCGAAGCGTCCTCGCATGACGTGTTCTGCTTTATCAAGTGCGCCAAAAATGGCAGTCTAGCATCACTTTTAACTTATTTTCCCATAGATAATCATAACAAGTCAGCAGCTAAAAGTTCGATGGCGTCACCATTCAATCACTGGCTTTTATTTGTTTTTAGATGCCGAATTCGAAGATTTAATTGGCGTTTCTAGTAGGATTGAGCAACCAATTGATTTGGAACGCTGAACACTAAACTTTGTCCGCCCGATATGCCTTGCATAAACATGTTGTTCACTGTCCCCCGTTAGTTCATCTTCATGGACGGTAATTCTTCCATAATAGGCTGAAATAAATTATTTCACTAAGATTGAATTAATATTATTTTAAATGACTGTTAAATTACGTAGAAATTATAAATAAGACTCAAAATTCTAGAATTGTCTTTGGATTAATATTGAATAACATTTCAAGCTTTAATCGCATAATCGAGGTTAGCAGAGTTCTCTGACGTGCTCGAAGATACCAACCATATTTCACCCTCGCACGAGTAACTCCAGCGCACTAGCAGGCGCACTTTCAGAAATTATATTCGTTCTACAGAACACTTTCTCGGCGAGACAAGTTACGTTGCGATGACAGTGCCAGCGATTGCAATTGTCTCGCTCTCCGAAGAACGCAGCTTCTTGAGCGCAATAAATCTTAGACTGAGATCCAGAAAGGAGGCGAGGCGGTGCGTCTGATGAAGTAATTAGCGTTCAACGTCCTACGAATCAGTAAGGCATTCAAAGCGCTTCTGCTGCTGATGCCGTCGTCACTCCTTACCAAAGAAGAACAACTTAATTAGGGGGATTAATAGCGGTTGCCAAGTGCGCAGAATTGAATGGAGTGCGTGCCGTCCTCGGAGACTCTCTGCGCTCAGCGTACGTCGCCCTGGTGGACGATTCCTACAAACCGATTTCTTTGAGTTCGCTTCATCATTGCGGAGCCTGAGCCTAGTAATTCGCTGTTGGTTGGAGGAAGACTTATTCCCGCTGCCTATAGGCTAGAAAATGTGTTAATATGAAGCCATGGTAGACTGAGAGAGATAGTTTGACTTGATACTTGTAACTGCTGCTGAAACGAACACTTTCGAATGCTGCTCGAGTGATCCGAAAAGAGAGACGCTGCTTGCCGACAATAATATTAATTTCTTAAGATTATTATTCATTTGCTGAGAATATATTTCTAAGCCATCCGCTTTTAAAATTGCAAAAGCATTAGGTCAAATTAAATTTGATCATGTAGCTGATGTTGAAATTGATTTTATTTTAGAACTCATTTCTCGCCCGGTTTTCGGTCAAGTTTAGTTGAAAGGTGCACCTAATCAAACGCTAAGATGAACGGTATATGTATAATGTACATATAGCAAATTAAATAGAACGGTATTACTACATATTAAAAAGTTGAACGGTGCAATTAAATCTAACTAAGATTAACAGTATATTTAAATTATATAATCTACAGAAAATCATACATAACCTCAAACTCTGCTGACTGGAGTGCTTGTTGCTTCCACAGGTGGAGACGGGCGTTAATTAAAAACACTGTGTAATAAAACTAAACATAGTCAACATAGTAATTTCATTGAATTTATTCCAAGAATATTCTAGTCCCGTAAGATTGGGTGATGTAAATGAACTGAATCTTTAGTAAGTTTGTCGTTTGAATGTAGATAATCAATTGACGTATTTTCTGGAACTGAGCCTTTAGTAAGTTTGTCGTTTGAACGCAGATAATCAACGTATTTTCTTTCCCGCAGAGTGGGAGGTTGACTTGTTTCAGGTCGACTCCTCTAGGCTGGGAGCAGTCGTAAATAAATACCACCAACGAATTAAACAAAGTCTTCTTAACATATATCATAATGTGAAAAAAATTGATGGAAACATTTTTCTGTGGCGCAGAGTGGGAGGTGGGCATTGGTGGGCTGCTGGCGGGCGTGGCGGTGGGTTCAGCCCTCACCGGCGCCGTGCTCGCTGTCGTCCTCATCAGGTGCCGCAGGTCAGAATAATTCTGAAGTTAATGCTATTTGAATTGGTGGAATAATATTATATAATATTATATATTATATATAATATTATATAATATAATATGTAATATTGCTTTGAGAAGACTTATATTGCCTAATATCTTACTAGTACTGCATTGATGACACATCTATTACCTAATGTCTATGTTAAATTGTATTTATGTAGAAGTAAAATACGAAATTTACGATGGAAACATGAACACAAAATAGAGCTGTGATTGATCGCACGTAATTTTTGTCGCAGGGCACGGATGCTGTCACTCAAGTGCAAAGGTAAGAAAACGTTTATGTTCATAATGCGGAGCTTGTGCATTCTATGCCTTATTATACTTTTGAATTTATTAAATTAATTGAAATTTTACATTATTTGCCTATGCTAATGCTAAATATAGCTTAAATTTGTTCAAAAGTAACAAACGTGCTGTTTTTAATTTTACCTCTCCATATTATAACCTGTTTTTCCTGTGAGTTTAGATTTAAATTTGTTTCCATTTAGAGAAATAAATATATCCCATATAGGAGTCTCAATTATTCTGCGTTATAATGCAAAAACGCAGAACTGCGAACAAAGTCATAAACTAAATTGATGCATTTAAATTACCAAATATCAATGGACTAATTTCCTTGAGTTGTAGCTGTCTATTACGACAAGATGTTTAACTATTTCCCTTCTGAGTTTCGATCACTTATCTTAGATCGCTTTACGCCCCTTCTGAGTTCCGATAACTTATCTTAGATCGTTTTACTCTCCTTCCCTTCGGCCGCCCAGCGTCTGGGACGAGTGAAGCTGGAGGCTCGTGGGCCAAGCCGGGCGAGCGTCACGAGCCAGGGTCCGACAAATCGCTCACGGCGACTTCCTCGTCCGGCCTAGCGTGGCCGATGAAATTCTGGAGACGGAATTCCGCCCAAGAACAGCCACTTCGGCCAGCATCAACGTACAGCTCTGAGAACTCGTACTCTGAAGAGCCCTACATGAACCCAGAGGGGCAGAGTAGCCTCTACTCAGAGCTCGCCCTGGGTTTAAGTACCTACTCTAATATCACCGACCCCAGCTTACCTGAAAGAGACAACCGGACTGCACTGAAGAATGGCTATGAAAATGCGGGGTATTTACGCTCAGAGGGACTTCATGAGTTTCCAGGAGATTTGCCTTCATCTGTTGTTCCTGCAGAGTGCCACAGAAGAGGTTCTAGTATGAAGGTAGCTCCTCATATAAGACGACATAAATATTTATGTGAGCCTCGTCAGGTGGCCGCATGGCAAATGCCTGCCACTGTATCAGCAAGTGTAGCGCATTCAACTATTAAATTAAATGACCCTTACAGGGACATAATATCGATGTCTGCTGCTAGAGCCACGCTGGACACTGGCGACACAATTCCTAGTCCTCCTTATCCGTCCTGCCATGCTTGTCTTTCTGCTAACACCATGCCACTTCTTAGACATTCTTGCGAAGCCTCGCCTGTCCTATTGAATTCCAATAATTTAAATCTAATCCCATTGCTCTCCTATAATCGCCGTGCTCAGCCTGAGATCGATTTAGCCGCGAAGCTTCAGTCCACTTTACCAAGTTCCATCCAAGCATTAAACGGAACAAAAGAAATGTTCCGCAAAGGTCCTTTATTGCCCCAAACTTTAGCGGAAAACTCGTGTCCAACGTCAGAGTACGTGTAACTTCACTGTGTAACTCGTAGGTAGAGTAAAATACCAATGCGCTCAAGATACACAATTCCCTACCTTGTAGACACAGATGATGGTTTTTCAAATATTGTAGTATAAATAATTATTTCTTTGGCTTTTCATGCAAATCGCTCCAAATTTGAGCTTTATGTAGTCATGCAGATCACTAATTATAATAATTTGAATCATGATATGATCGCCCTGCCATTTATACGCTAAGCATTACTTAATATAATCTGACAGAATATTTCTAGGTAGACTAAAGAACGTAAGGAAACGGTGCTCTCGAGTGTGCAATGATTTTAGAGGAAACATTTGTTGTGTTTGAACACTTTTATTTTGTTTTTTCCATTATGTTAAGTACCGATACGTCTGAGTTATATTTGGCTGAGTGAAAACCTAAAGTCAGTTCATGCGCGTGAGGGTGGCGAGAAACTTTCATCATTGCTGGAACAAAGGATTTAAACCGAACCAAGCAGAGGTGAATATGCTTGATATTTTCACTATACGCTATTTGCGCCTTTTTAAGCCTAACTTTATTGGAACTTAAACTATGCCTACGAGAATTCTTGTTGCTCTGAACGAGTTCCCACTGAAGACTGTTCCCACTATTCGGACAACTTCTTTGTAGACCTTTTGACTGAATTCCTTACTCAACCTGATGTTTCAGAGCACTTCAGTAATTTATTTCCAGTAATTTATCATTTTCAACGATATAAGTGCATGATATTGTAAGAGTTATAAGTCGTCTTCTTCAATTCTCACCCCATGTCAACAATGAACCCTAGTCAAATTTAGCATTGGGAGAATAAAGTTCTCCTATCTTAATTAAACTTAAATTTGCAATTTTTTCTTTTATTCAAACCATATTAATAAAATAATTTTAGCAAATTCAAGCGGAAGTTTCAAGCATGAATCTTTCTAATTCTACAGATTCTAGAAATTTCAAATCTGATAAATCAATAAACGAATTGTTTATTATTCTTTTTGATTGCAGATGAATATATCTGATTAATTTCCGAAATCCTTATGTTTCGCCAAGCGACGCACAATAATAATAATATGGAAGCTAGAGATGCCCGAGGCAACTGACCATTGCGATGATATTACAGGCAATGCGAAAGCTTTGCTCGGACGATCAACTACACTGCCTTGGTACAACCGAGCCTTCAATGCTCAGCCTTATCGTGCGGGCGGCGCTGGGGCTTTCTCTTCGTTTGGCGAGGGCATTACTCGCTGTGCGAAAGCTCGGACGATCAACAACGGACGATCGTCCGAGCAAATGCTCGGACGATCAACTACACTGCCTTGGTACAACCGAGCCTTCAATGCTCAGCCTTATCGTGCGGGCGGCGCTGAGGCCTTCTCTTCGTATGTTAGGGCATCACTCGCTGCCGAAGTCATTGCCGTGATGTACACCGTAGATTTACTCTACCGGGAGATGCCATTTCCCGTCCACTACGGGAGCTGAATTTTGAGTGGACTGTGCCCACAATCCCGAAATTCAGAAGCTGTTGCTATTCACAATATGGTTCGAAATTTCAGCAATCTAATCGACAGTCGGAGATTGATCGCCAACAAGCCTACTAATATTTTTACTATGTATGTGAAGTTACATTCGCATATTCATTAAAAATGGGGCCTCAGAAATAAATTGGTTGCACGGTTTCTTAGCAATTTATCATTTCGAATATCTTCATTGTAGGGACGATGAACGATTTGATGATCAATCATGGACTACGTGAATTCTTGAGGATCAGAACGTCACTTTTCAACGATATTTGTGCACGATATTGTACAAGTTATTATAGTCGTCGTCTTCAATTCTTACCTTAATTATACAAACATGTCAACAATAATGAACCCTAGTCAAATTTAACATCGGGAGAATCGAGTTCTCTTATCTTAATTACATTTTATTTTTAAATGTTAACCTTCAAACGAAATCATTCACACACACTGGAGAAAAATTTCTACTGCTTTAATTAAATTTTTACCATTTAACTTAATAATATAAATATGATTCCAAAAACTGAAAATGAAATATTAAATGAACTGTAATCTTGATAAAATATAGTTAAAATCAACTGATTAGAAGCAACAGAGTTTCGTTGACTGTATTTTGTTGACTTTAACTTTCGTTGACGTTCATAATAGCCAACAAAACCGACAGTTACGAAAGAAGACACAATTCGTTTTTTTTTATCCATCAGCACATGACTTCTGCCTTTTGAAATATTAAAAACTAAATTGTAGGACTTGTCGCTCTGAAGCTGTCTCTATCCAATTAACTGATGCAATCTCAATAAAATTTCACGACAAATTTTCAAGAGAACTCGGTGCTCTTCCCTTTTGAAATAAAAAATAAAGCAACAAAAATTGAAGTTCGAAAAACTACTTTTGAAATTATAACTACAGTGACTTTTTCTATCCAATAAAAGTTGAACGAATGTAAAATATTTCAAAGATACTGTCGAACGCCAGAATATTTTAATCGTTCGTATGGTGACACAAGATTTTACAAATGCTAGGTTTATTCTCTAAAAAACCATAACATGGTCGAATAATTCGGCGGTCTGGATGTTTAACAAACTTACGCTCCTCGAAAAATTTCTAACCTCGTAGAATATTTTAATTCGTATGGTGACATGAGATCTTAAAAATGCGATTTTTTTAAACATAACATGGTCGAAGTATTCGGCTGTCTGGATGTTTAACAAAGTTACACTCCCCGAAAAATTTCTAACCTCGAACGACGCTTGGATCTACTCCCAAATTAAAGCCTTGATTTAAGAATTTGAGGGTAGTCCGAAAGAGGCTTCCGGCGAGAAATGTCTTTCCATGTTTCTCGATCAGCACATAAGTCAGGAGGCTCTCGGGGCAAAGCCTTCGCAGTTTCCGTCATTGCGAAGAGGAAAATTTCATCCGATCGTTAGCTCGTGAATGAGCTCGGAGCAGCGAGCATCTCAAGCGGCGCAGGGCTGCTGCGGGGAGAGCTGCTATGTAAGAACTGCAAAACTGCTCAGAGGGCAGATGAGCAGGAAGAATCTGGACGAGCAAGAAAATGCTGGATAGCAAGAAAATGCTGGACGAGCAAGAAAATGCTGGTAGCAAGAAGATGCTGAATGGGCAGGAAGAAGCTGGATGAGCAGGAAGAATCTGGATTAACAGGAAGAATCTGGATGAGCAGGAAGAATCTGGATTAACAGGAAAATACTGGATAGCAAGAAGATGCTGGAAGAGCAGGAAGATGTTAGATTGGCAGGAAGATGATGGTTGAGCAAGAAGAGGATGGATAAGCAGGAAGATGCTGGATTGGCAGAAAGATTTTGGATGAGTAAGAAGATGCTGAATGAGCAAGAAGATGCTGGGTGAGCAAGAAGATCTTGAATGAGCAGGAAGATACGTCATAAGCAGATAAATGTCAAGTGGCAGCAAATATTTCCTAAATATATAGGCAATTAGGCATATCAAGAGCCCGGTCAATTGCAATGTTAGCGTAATCACATATTATATTAATGATCAAGACAGAGACNAGCATACCAAGGTCAATTGCAATGTTAGCGTAATCTCATATAGTATTAATGATCAAGACAGAGCCTTTGATGTTATCCTAAAGAACCACTAAGCCGTAGATAATATCACTCTATACATATAAATCGTCACTAAATCTTTTAGGATCTAATTATGAATAAATCCATTGATAATCTGATCAAAGGCCCGTGAACGATTAGTACACATTTCACAGAACAGACCTTCTCAGCCCGTCCACATTACCCAGACAAAAATCTATTACAATCATCCTTCCCCGGAGTTTGTGTCCTTTTTAGCCGGTGATATAATTAAGTATGCTAATGGAGCAATTTTAATGTCGCTTAGCGAGACAAAAGAGACATTTATCTGGTGAGGACTCCCCTAAAAACGCCTACTACCCTCACCTCATTTCCATAGCCGAGGGGACACGCTGGCCCTCGCGATAACACTTGCCGCTGCGGACAGCAGGGGAGACTGCGACATTTTAATTACCTAGAGTGCTGGGGCCTGCTGCTTTTTGACTGCTTTTTGAAGAGCTTTTTTGTGAGCTTACATCACGGAGTAGATGCGCTTATGCACCTAAATGTATGTAAACTTGGATTCTGTGCGAGATTAAAACTTGCTTGGAGTATCGCATTTCTTAATTACCATAATCCAATTATACTTCATAAATTGTTTTCTTTTCACTAACCTTAACATTTTGATAACCATCTGACGAACGATGAAGATCGCATATTTATCTTTTTCATGATCGGCAATCACACATCAGTTTTTCGGCCTTTACTTTTAATAATGTTATATTTATCATTGCGGAGCTAACATACATACAACTAAATATGATCAGATAAATATCGGACAAATAAATCTTAAAAGGCTAATTGCTTCTACAGTCGAATAAAAATTTCTCAGTGAGAAAAAAATAAACTTCATACATCAATGAGGCCATAAAGTCGTGTGAGACACAATGTGAAGTCGTCTGAAACGCGCGTCTATTCCATAGCTACGACTCACCCTATCGTGACTAATGTGCTCGTGAAAATTTATCAATATTCGTGAACATCATAAGCTAAAAAGATTGGGTAAGTTTAAGTAAATTAGTTCACCTTTAAAATAACACCAAGAGCTTCATGGCAAATGAGTATCAGATGACGTACATGCAAGAATCGCATGACAACAAAGCTGCCCATGCAGTGGCGCCACGATGATCTACAAGCGAATAAAAACTAAGCAAAACTGCAAAACAAAGGCAACGTTTGTAGCCTAAAGATAATCCGACAGAAATTCATTCAGCGGAAAGTTATAAATAAGCATGAACTCTTGCATTAGAAAAAAAACGGAATATTATTAAATGTTAAACGTGATGTTTTTATTATCATATTTATAACACCCAGCATGTATTAGTCTTCTTTATTCGCCTTCTAGTCGTGGATCGCCCTACACGTATATAAAAGAAATTTAAGCAGATGCTCTTCTGTTAATTAGCTGAAGTAAAGTAATCTGTTAAAAACTATCACTGTGAGGGCTGAAGCCGAGGAAATTATGCGGAATTAGGCTTTTCTTACAGAATAGAAACAAACATCTTCGAAAATCAGGACTATAAAATTGTTATTTTCAATGCCATAATTCTTTATCATGAGCCAGCTATAAAGTAATCAGGAAATCATCGTAAGCTAAGAAGCTTTCCACTACGCCTCATGTCTCAGGAAGCGTTCATACCGAGAAGATGGTCCTGGAGTTGAGCAGCATCGGTTGCAGCAACTAATTTTATCGCGATAGCGTAATTTATAGCAGTAATTTATCGCGATATTGTCAAGGACCGCTTCTTCAACCTACGTCCTACAAGTAGGCCTCTTTGCCGAGCTCTAGCATGGTGATTTTCTGACCACGAGATATCCCGATTAAAAAAACCATTGCACATATTGTAAGGAACCACCTCACATGAACTGATATATCACGTCATACGTCACGAGACTGGTGAGAGTGCAGAACTCCGACTGGTGAACGTGCAGAACTCCGACTGGTGAGCGTGCAGAGCTTCGACTGGTGAGCGTGCAGAACTCCGACTGGTGAGCGTGCAGAACTCCGACTGGTGAGCGTGCAGAACTCCGACTGGTGAGCGTGCAGAACTCCGACTGGTGAGCTTGCAGAACTCCGACTGGTGAGCGTGCAGAACTCTGACTGGTCATGAGCGTGCAGAACTCTGACTGGTGAGCGTGCAGAACTCTGACTGGTGAGCGTGCAGAACTCTGACTGGAGAGCGTGCAGAACTCTGACTGGTGAGCGTGCAGACTTCGACTGGTGAGCGTGCAGAC